CGTCCGTTGTACGTCGCCAGGGTCAGTCTTTTGTGGTGGCCTCCCGTAGCCCGGAGATTCTTGGCACCCCCCGCCCCACCGTTACCGTGGTCGCCACCGTGACCAGGAATAGCGGGGCTGCCGGGAACTGGGGGCCGTGGCTTGAGTTTCTTGTGCATGAAGGTTTTGCCCATAATCGCCACGCTGGGCAGGCGGGTTGGCGATCGCAGAGCGTAGGTTTATTTACTGATGACGCTGCTGCCCGTCACCAGTGACATTTTCCTCCCCTACGTCATTTGGATGGTTATACCGCCATCGGTCGGTTTGCCAGAGCCTCGTCTGTTGGTCAACAGGGTGCACCACGTGAAGGTGAGGTTGGCTTGGGTTCTTGCAGGTGTATTTAGAACCCCTTACACCCCTGCAAATGCAATTCTTATTTTCATTCAATTCCTTGTTCCTATTGTGCAATTTAATTATATTCATATCAATAAATATTCTACCGAGAAAAAGACGTTGTCACGTAAAATCTTCGCCCGTAAAACCGACTTTACAGGCAACCATTTTTTATGCAATATTTTGGTTATTGAAATCCTTCAAATTTGTTTAGTTGCTATTGTAATTTTTTTGTGACCGTACACCGTACCCCGATATGAAGCTGGGACGGGCCGCTTGTATATTATAAATATAAATAAGAAAGTATTATTTATAAAGAATATATAACAAGAAAAAATTTCCACGCGGACCAGGCAGTAGACGGGGCTCGAACCCGCACCCTTCGCTATCCGGGCGAATGCACTGACCAATTATGCTACTGCCATTTCTTCGCATTGTAGGTAACCCACAATGTCAAATGATAACTTTTACAAGTATTAAAAATTTGAAAGAAGAAATAGCAGTTATAATTTTTTTACAAATCGTCGCTCTGAAAATGAGTCGAACAAACCACGCTGCGGGAAGCTGGTTGCCACAATGGTGCATTTCTACTCTTACGAATGACTGCAATCCACTTCTCTTTTAGATCTTGATCTCGATTAGGAAATCTTAAAAAGAACGTATATTAAATAATGTGTATTACATCCCAAAAAATTTATACGAAAACATAAAGAAAAAAGATGTTTCGTGTAATTGTTTATCCATGCATTACAATATTCGAATAATATAAAAGTATGCCACACAATGTATATAATAAAATAACGTTACGTTATATTTCACGCTACCCAACAAAAGGGTAAAACTGTAACGAATAATCATGGCAACATTTCGTTCAGGTTTTGTTTACAAAGCGACAACCTCAAATTTGATTTTGATTAATTGAAAATAGCAGTTTATAACTTTACTTACGTATGAAATGTGATTCCGTTCTGTTTTTTATTCTTGGAAGATTGGTTTTTACACGTTTTCACTACACAATTCGGCATTTTCTCTAATAAATATTGTTATTTATTATTACGTCACACTCCGCGCGTCGGGATAGCTCGACTGAGAAGCCAAGGCGTAGTTTCGTTGCATGTGTGTGCGTGTAACTGTGTATGTACACGGCGAGGCGTAGTTTTATCGGCTTCACTTTTTGGTTCGGCAGACTCCGTCTATACTTTTTATTTGGTCTGAGTTCAAGGTATTGTTTGCACTGCAATCTCCAGTGTTGTATATAAGCTTCTTGATTGCATTACATTAATTGACATTGACGTACTAAAGTTATAAAGAGGACATAATATCTAAAAAAAAGTACGCGATTATTATGTCTACAATCATCTCACCACAAAATGTGCACAAAATAATAGGCCCTTTTTAACATTTGTATTTAACATAAATTACATATTTTAAGTACACGATACTCACGATAAATCGATTCAAGCTTGTATGAGTATTTGATTGATTTGATATATATTGCAAAGTGCATGGATTTAAGTTCCGATTAAAAAATTTAATATTTTAGGTAATTTGAAATGGTACAATGGTAAGGAAGGTCAATTTGTATTTAATTAAAAAAAATTAAAGAAAAGTTTACTAGAAAAAAATCCACACGGACCAGGCAGAGAAGACGGGACTCGAACCCGCACCCTGCGCTATCTGGGTGAAAGCACTGACCATTATGCTACCGCGGCCCTGATGACCATGTCGAATTTCTTCTAGTATTTCTTAGGCTGCAAGGCAGTGCCATCTCTTCGGATTGTAGGTAACCCATAATAATTTTAGTTACAATAACATTCGCTCAATCATAAAAAAAACAAGAAAAGCGAAAGTGATTGAATCCTAAATCAATATTTTTTTGATATTGATGATGCGCCAAAATCGTCGGATTATTTAATTATCGCCTGTATATTTAATTATTTCATTTTCTATAGTATTATCAATATTGACGTCTCTATCATAATCTTCCTTTATTATTTTTCTTATCTTTTCTACCACTTTTGCCCAGTCTTCCTTAGTGAATTTTTTCACAGCCTTCTTTTAGCAATGTCATGATTTTATTAGTGGAGAAAGGCAGCTTTGTATTATGGCGTGCTGCGTATCCTTTGACCTGAGCCCAGTTCAACTCTGCGCGGCGCTCTTACCACTTTGTTTCCATGCTGAAGTGCCAATTCATCAATTTCATTTTTTTTTCGCAGGTTTATTTTCTTTTAGCAGTTCCAGGAATTCAGCTTTCAACAAATTCATGTCAACTTCAACGGCTTGCCTTTGTAGCCACGCCATTAAATCTATTTTGCTTGCTTGAGTTGGTGCTTTATCTATTTGAACTGAGTGGTGGTGCGGGTACAGGGAGGTTTGTTAGCAAGTTAATATGAATTTATTTGCGTCCTTTTCTTCGTGATATTCTTTTGTACTTTTAGAGTCGAATGCGACTAGAGTATCATGCACAAAACCTCCCTCGGCTGATCCGGCATGGTAGAATATAAGCCGTCTACCCTTTCGCATTGGCACTTTTGAGCAAGATGCCTTGGTATCGTCCGTCATAACTGCGGCACGGTATGATTCGAGTTCAGCCAAGTCTCATCGATAAATATCACACTGTCCCAATTTGTATTTTTTTACTTACATTGACTTTTTACTAGTTTTAACTAATATTGCAAATATTGTAAATGTTAACTTACGTGCAGCGATCCTATATGCAGTATCGTACTGACTTAATATTTTTTACACCATAATTTCTAAATAAACAAATGCTGAGGCGAGTTATGTATTGAAAGGGCTTTCCTGATGATAAGTATAATTATAAAGTCCATTAATGTTATTAAATCTTTTAAAGAATCTGTCAAATAGCGGTTTTTATGTGTTAAAAATTATATACAGTAGAACCTGTTTAATACGATCACGCTTAATACGATTTCTCGCATAATACGGCATTTTGCGTCAATCCCTGCAACTAGACATGTTTTCATATATTTCTTAACGCTTAATACGATTAGTCATCCCGTTTAATACGCCTAAATCGCAACAAGATCGACGTGACGACTGTTGAGCGACACACGCTAAGCGGCCCCTAGGGTTTTCCTGGATATCCTACCATTGATGACAATGTGGTACGGTATAAAATTCAATGAGAATGTGAATAACACACAAGAAGAGGCCCTAAGTGATAATGATCAAGAAGAAGATGAGTCAACTCCGATTTTGTAACACGCCCAGGCATTATCAGCAGTAAATGATTTAAAACGCTATGTAATTTTTTGAATCAAAGTGAATACGCAGTGCAAATTTAAACTATGTTGAAAATCTTGTAATTGCTAATGCCTCAAAATCCAAAACTAAAATAAGTTTCTATAGTGCACAATTTTATAAATATTGTAAAAATACCTCAATACCTACATTCGAAATTTCCCTATCCCGTAATCCCGTATAATTTGCTTTCCCGCTTAAGACGCGTTTTTGGTTGAGTCCCTGTGAAATCGTCTTAAACGGGTTTTACTGTATTTTTTTTTAACATGAAATAAAAAAAATCCGCAACCATATTCTTAGTACGACCATAATTTAATATGATTTTATAATATTTTAATTCTACGTCCCGAAATTACTGATTCGATAATTTTTATGATAAACTGTACGTCTTTTATGACAATGAAGGACATTTTTTTTTAAAAGTTTGAACTGATTTCAATATTGAAACTTCATAGGTGCATAAATGTCAAAACGGGCCTATTATTTTGTGATAACTAACTATTACAGAACAATAAAACTAGTTTTTACGGGTTAATGCACGAAACTTTATTTATTTATTGACGTTTCGTAGCCTTTAAATTAGTTAATAATAATATTATATAGTATTTTTTTTCTATTGGATTTAACTATAGTAAAATCGAAACTATCGATAAAATAACGCGGCCTTAGTGTAAAAGCATGGGGACCAATCGTGTGTGAGGGGCCAACATTAGTCCTGTTTTTTTTCTATATGCGATTCTATAAAGCCGTGGCAGGTCACTATGTCATTAGTTACTTAACTAGCAAACCAGTGAACCAAATGTTCACAAAAAAAAATGTATTTAATTAATTGAGAACTTCGGAGATTTTGTGTGGTTTCGTTTGAAATAGAAATCACGTGATTTCTCGAAAACCGGAAGTGCTACGTTACTCACATCCGGTTTGTAGTCTTGTCAGACTATTCTTAACTTATAACTTGAACATTCTCTATATCTATCTCTTACGGTTTGGCCGCTGAAACAGCACCACGGACCGACGGACGGACTTGTCTATTAGATAAGAGACTAGCAAACCAGTGAACCAAATGTTCACCAAAAAAAAAATGTATTCAATTAAAAGAGAACTTCGGAGATTTTGTGTGGTTTCGTTTGAAATAAAAATCACGTGATTTCTCGAAAACCGGAAGTGCTACGTTACTCACATCCGGTATGTAGTTTTATCAGACTATTCTCAACTTATAACTTAAACATTCTCTTTATCTATCTCTTACGGTTTGGCCGCTGAAACAGCACCACGGACGGACGGACGGACGGACTTGTCTAATAGATAAGAGATACTCTTACAAGTTTGATATGGGGATCGTTTCTCTATGTTTAGTGAGTTGACACACTCGTAATTGACATTTTTGATAAGAATATTGTTTACATGTTTTTTTAATGATATTTTTACATAATTATAATTATTATTTTATACATAATGAAACAAGTTTCTTCTGAATACTTATATTACATAGTTTTGCAACTGAATAAAATAAATTCAAAAATTAAGCGAAGATGAATTTACACCACCTGCGTGTCGTGAACTTTGATCGAAACTCAAGTAATAATCGAGTGGCACCTAAAGCAAGAAAGGTTGCGTTAAATAAGGATCACCGTTCCATTGAGAATAAGCAATGCACGAAACCTGATGAAAATTCAGTTCAACAAAATGAAAAGAACAAAAGTGAACAGCAAATAGTTGCAGATGTAGCAAAAGAATACAAACATAGCCCAAGCAAAACAGATGGAAAACCTGGAAAAGGCAAGTAGGATTAAACATTCATATTAAAACATATACCTGTATCAAAATAATTAACAATTTAAGTTTCTTAATGTTTAAGTACCTTCTAATTGCTGCGGCACAGACATGCCCTATGGAAAGATTATGGAAAAAGGGGCTATGATCCACCACATCTTCTCAGAGTTATAGGTGAGTAGAAGGAGAAAACACAAATGCAGCCAGGACCAACAGCTTAATGTGCCATCAGAAGTAATGAGCGGCACGAGATAGTTAATTTTTGGTCACCTATTCTATGACCGGCCAATGCGAAAGTTGTATAATAAAAACTATTTTCATTTTATTAAATATTTTTTATTTTTAGATATCGCTCCAAACACCTTGCCTTCAGTACGCACATTGAGCTTAGATGATATTGGAAAGAGGTTAAAGAAATGTGATTCACATAAAATAAAGCAAAAATTTAAGAACATAAGACTTAAAAATGTCCGTTTAAAACATAACAACACAGCAAAGCAAAGAGAACGCAAGGAGAGTCAAGATGATATAAAAGTTTTGTACACTTCACAAAGGCTTACAGAGAAAAGTAGAAGAAAACCGGATCGCAAAGTGAATCTCGGTCCTAGCAGAGTAGAAGTCAAAATACCATCTAATGACTTATTTAGCACTTCAAGCGTATCTAAATTACGTAACAGTGTGTACTTGTATTACCAGACATGTAAAAACACGAGACCACTGTCAACTCGTAAAAAAAATAACAGAGGCACGCAATCCCAGCCTCATATTCAACGATGTAGGTACCCTTTAGTAACTAATAATAGCAAACGAGATGAAATCTCTGAAAAACATTACAATTTAGTAGATTTCTCAAAACATTATAAATCAGATAATTATACTCAAAATAATGAGAATAAATCTCCACAACCTTCATATGAATTTGTATGCAAAAACAAACACGAAGTACCTAACATTATAACAGTCCCAGTGGATCGTGGAAAAAAGAATCAGATTAGTAAAGCAGTGGTTACTGAACCTGAAAGGAAACCTGTGAATAAATTTAAAGTTAAACTAGATAAACAGTGCGCATGTCGTATTGATAAAAATAAACAAGAAAACTATGTAGTTCAACAGTTTTTTAAAATTCTCAAAACTTTTTTGAAATATTTTCTTTTTGGCCTTACTGTTATTGCATGGTCACCATGCATTATTGTTGCTTTCTTGTGTTGGTTCCTTTTTTCCTCATTGATGCCTGATGACGTGAATGTTGATAAAGTGGACCCAGCATGTGCGAAAAATGAAGAGGGATTTTTCTCAAAATTGGTGGAATGGATTACTCGAGTAAATAATAAAATTAAATTTACCTTTGAAGCGGTGAAAAACTCACTGAATGCGGATGAAGAAATAATTGAACCATCCCCACAATACAATTCAGTTGGTACACAGAAACGACCTAATATAGGAATAGATTCTCAGCCAAATCCGGAAAGAAAATACATTTTATATCATACTCAACAGAAAGGGTGGTTAATGAAACCCATGCAAGGTGTAGCTAAACATAAACAATGTAAACCTGAAGTTTGTCCGAACATAATCCGTGAACAGCCTCGTATTAAAAAAACCGTATCTTTTTGGGATACAAAGCAATATCATAAAGATAAAAAACAGAAAGCTGAAAGCAAATATAAGCAGACCGTTGCAACTGATCCTAAAAGAAGTAACTCGTGTTCTTGTACACATGAAAAACCAGCTGCGCCAGCACATGTTTCATGCCAATGTTATCCGTTTCCAAAAGCTTCAAAGAGGATTAGGTGCCCTTTTGGGAATTCAAAAGTTCATCAAAGAATAACAGGTCCACCTCCGTTAGTCCGGCAACGGTATCCTCACAGGAAGTATGTTTACTGTCCACATCAAAAATCTCTTGTGCACCATCGACAATTGTCGGAGAAAGTGAAGAAAACTGCTCGAGCACCTCTTCAAAAATGTGAATCGATTCCAGCAAAAATAATTTGCAAGCCCCGGCAACGAACGCGATCGCGTTCTAAATCAGATCGCAAACTGGAATCAGTAATTTCAAAGAAAAAAAAGAAGAAGCTTGCTAATACTAGTAAAGTATTTAGCCGAGTTAAATATCACTTCAATTGCATTAAATGTGCTATACAGCAGTCCGATCAGTCTTGGGGCCAAGGACTTGAATGCAGTAACCTTTATATAAGTACGTTGACCAAGAAACCTTGCTTTTGGGTGTACAAGGCATGCCCAAAATTATACCCATGTTTATTAGCTACATACAAAATGTGTAATAGTTGCTGTGTGGTTGTTTTGTTTATTTGTTCAGCTTGTGTTTGGTGCCCAATATTTATTTGCTGTTATGCATGTTATGCTACAATATGTGACATTTTGTGTTGCTGCTAAAAAGTAAACGGCTGAAGAGGCATTGCATAAAATGCATTTTTTTAAACGTATCAGAGCAGGAGGGAAGTGATATTAAAAGAACTTGTTGATTAATAGCTTTGTTATATTTATTATCTACACTGAACTCGCTGAACTGATTTAGATGAAATTTGGTATAGTGATAGGGGAAGGACAAAGGATAGCTTTTATCCTAAATATTATCTTTTTAGTGAAAGTTTATTTTGGAAACCAATTATTTTTCCACGTTGCCGAAGTCGCGGGTAGTAGCGGCAAAGGTAGGGAGGGGGTTCATGGTAGGGTGCCGGATATAAGGGGGCTTAAATTTGATTCAATGAACGAGACGATACTCACACAATTAGCCTAGCCCCAAAGCAAGCACTGTAAGGCATATTTATGTTATGGTATAAAACACATATATAAGTATATTTATGTATAAGTATATATAAACATCCATGACTAAGAAACAAAATGCACATATTCATTATACTAACATTTGCTCCCACCGGGATTCAAACCTCACTGGTAGGCGACGCTATGATACCCGGCGTATATGTATACCACTAGGCCACTAACACTGAATTTCGTCACATTAACTGATTCTTATTCATTACATCACATGCAGTTATTCCGATTATTATAAAACAAACAGATGTTCGTCACTCTTCACTCCAAGTACCGAACGATATTAGTCTTTTTCTTCTTCTTCCTCATGACGTGTATTTGTGACGGCATGAGGCTATTACGTGTATTGGAGCTCCATGTTCTCAATGTTATTCAGTTTTCGGCCATCCAGATAGACGTCTTAAGTCTGCATGTCTGTTTGGCAGATCTCCTTTACAACACCAGTCCATCGCGTTGGTGATCGTGCACGCCTCCTCTTTCTTTTTACATGGTCTACAATCTACAACAATGAGTCCGATGTACTGAAGGACACGTTGCATACAGGCAGCTGCCTATCTTCGATAAACGGTCTTTATGTCCAGTTCAGTTATAGGATCGAAACATTAGTGCGACGCGCTATCCACAGGATCCACAATATTCTTCGCTATCACCACATCTCCAATCAGTATTATTTTCTTTCGAACACGTGCCTTGAGTGTGTGAAGTTATACGATTTATGTAGAAATATTAAGAAGACAAGGGTCTCTATGAAGTCGACTTTTGTCTTTTTGGTTATTCTTCTGTTCCTCCAAATTCATCTCTAAGGCCCGTATTATAGAAAGATTCCCAGTGATTGTTCTAGTCTTGAGCACAGTAAGAAAGGGATTTCGCTATATATATAGCACATAGCGACATCCATTTCTAACTGTACTCAAGTTAAGATCAACACTTAGTTGTCATTATGTAATACGGGCGAGAGTTAAGATAAGAGTTTCACAGCTGATTTCGCAATCTGAGCTCTTCTTACAACTTCAATGGCATTCTCCGTCTATTGATACTATTTAACCTGGGTAAATAAACTCCTGTAGAATTTCCAGGTCAAGTAATTTCCATTTTCCATGTAAGACTTTTACTTTGTCGATAAAAATCAGCTTTGTTTTGCATGGTTAATTTTCAGACTATATTCCGCATTTTCACTCTCTACGCTTTGCAAAACTTTGACAAGTTTTTTTTTTCGTTATGGCTCAATTACATTTGGTCGTTAGCCCGTATTCGGGTAAACGAATGACATTTCTTGAATTCGGGCACCCGAAGTAATATTTACACTTTAATACGAACTGGAAGACGGTGTCGGGTAACCAAAACGAAAACTAGCGGAATACGGGCGTTCTCGACTCCATTCATTTATACTTACTCGTTTACCCGAATTCCTCGTATTTCGTATTCGGGCTAACGACTAAATGTTATCGCATTAGCTACAATAATGTTTATCGTTTGCAAGTTATTAATGTAGGTAGTGTCCGATATTTTTTATGCTACCATCCAAATTAAATTCTCTGCACTTTTCATCAATCATCTCTCTCATGTTTAAAATCTGCTAGCGATTTGTCTTCAAATGTATTTTCTAGTTGGTTCTTGATGATATGCAGCAATATTTTACTTGCGTGGGATATGATTGGGAAAGGGTGGATAATTCTCACATTGACGTATAAAGCCTTTCATTTGTAACGGGGCCACATTCAGGCAATGACCAGGCAACCATCAGCCAATGACCTGTTTTCCAGACTAAGTAAAATTGTAGGATTTTTACCAGGCCCTTAAACTTTTAGCAGCTATGCCGACAGTCCGTCTCCAACGCACCGTTTTTTCAGTACCCTTAGTACGCGTTTTACAATTACGAAAACTATGATAGTTTTCGTGAGCTCCCACTCGTACTAAGGGTACTGATTTTATTGTTTTCGTTTCAATACAAATAAACAGTGTTTAAATTTTATCATTAAAACATTTGCATCTTCTTAAATTTTAAGTATATTTGGTTTGGTTACTTTCACCAAAATGGACATAGAAACATAATTTACAATTACGAAAACTATGATAGATTTCGTGAGCTCAAAATCATACTAAGGGTACAGATGTGCTGTGTTATATGTGCTGTTTCACCTCGTTGAGAGGGTTCATAACAATATCGTGAGCTACTTTCTACAATTGCTGACAGTACTGACGCCATCTTTCGAGTACTAGATCTTTATGAACTAGTGGTCTCACTTTCTCGACCTCGTCCATTTTGAATTACTTAAAGTCGATTAAAAACGATGTATTGATCGATGATGATGTAAAAATACAAAGATAATTGTTATCTATTTAGAAAACAGAAAAAAGCCTTAATAAAGAATAGTACACGACATGTGATTTTTATACTACTCTAAGCAGACTTAGAAAATAGGTCATTGTCTTGTTAAAGATCACCTGTACCGACTCAAGCGGATTTTCTATGTTGCAGAAGTTACAAACAGGTGATCTGACGGTCAGATCACCTGTTTGTAACTTCTGCAACATAGAAAATCCGTCACTGAACCATATTTTTTTCCCCTGCGTTTCATTTCAAGTACAGAGGAATATGCTGTTTCAAGACCTTCGAAGTACTTTAAACCATCACGCACAACTTGAGAAAACTTTTACCAAATAACGACACCTACATTCCTTTATACAGATTTGTTCAGCAGCTCCAGTCAAAACACTAAGTAATAAAAGTATACAGACAGGGCTCTATGAACTCAGAATCTTTTGTTTGTCCTTTGTGTTTGTTTGTCAACAGGGACAAAAAGCCCAAAATAAAAGTATTTTGACACTGACCGTGGCAATGAAAATGAGATTTTGGCGGGATTGCATCGAGTGCGGTTGGTATCATAATTTAATTATTTTTAAATTCGTTCATAGTGGATATTGTGAAATAAAGTTTGTGTGATTTTGTGTTACCACTGTGTGTGCAACTGAAGAATTACTGATTATTTTAAAATATACGCTAAGTATTCCGGTCAATTGACGTGAGAACTTTATTGAAGTGTTGACTATCTCACAGAAGCTTATCGAAAAAACCAACGCAATACATTTTGTGCCAAATACTAAAAAATATTAGAATGCTTCAAATTGTCGTTCTAATGTAAAAAAAAAAATTAAATAAACTTTTAGGCTGTATGGGCACTGTCCCCTTTGTCTTCTCTGAAAAAGGAGAATCTTAAAAAAGCAATGAAAATGACATGACATCGGAAAATTTGGAAATCCATTGTTGATTTGATTGTTGTGTATTTCTTTATTTTTCATAAAAATACAAAATACGTTATCAACTTTCGTTGTATTACAATAAAGTAAATCATAGTTTTATGACTTCTTTCCTTTAGATTTTACTAATTTTAGAAAATGCAGTCTGAAGAGAAACGTTCCAAACAAATGGTTGATTTAGCTTCTTTGGAGCCAGCAGCTAGGGTTAAACAGCTGGCTAATTACGGCACAATGGTTGAAGTAGATTTTAATGTTCCTCCTAGAAGGTAACATCTTAGATTACTAATAATTATTACACTCCACATGTGAATGACAATGACTCACGAAGTATTATTTTATTGGTATTAGTTACATCATGATTTTTTTTTTTCTATTTATTGGATCACCAACCGTTACTACATCAATACATCTTATTTAATACAATTTTACATTCAGTGATATAATGCGTAACCACTAAATAGGCGAACTCGGCATGCGTTACATTAAGCAAGCAGATAGTATTTAATTAAAATAAAGCGTGTTTGTGTGTGCAATCTGTGTTATATGTTATATATAAATTGCATAAAATGTAGTAATAAAACACAAATAATCAAATTAAATCTCAAATATGCCTTCTAGGTATTATCGATCGGGGTTGGAAATGGTGAGGATGGCTAATGTCTACCTAGCTGAAGGAAGCCTTGAGAATGCTTACATATTATATATGAAATTCATGACACTATTCCTGGAGAAGATCAGGAAGCATCCAGAATATGCTACAGTGCCAGCACAAGTCAAAGCTGTAAACCAAACAAAGTTGAAAGAAGTAATGCCTAAGGCTGAGAAACTAAAACAAATTTTATTGGAGCACTATGCGAAGGAGCATACTGCTTTCAAAGAAGCAGAGGTAGCTATAGCAAATAAATTTTTGTTTTTATTAAGAAACTCATATTATTATTTAACAAAACTAATAAACTTTTAAGTGCCAGCAAAACCATTACTAAATTTATGGCTTGTTTACTGTGCGACGTGATGATGCACACATCGCACAGTAAACAAGAACTAAAAGAGTTATAAGCTAAATAAGAACAATGTTCTAATACTCCTCCTGTATCTTCTCAAATACAGTAAATTTCTTAAATATATATTTGAGATCTTGCTAAGTATAAATGATAAATGTAACTGTATGTTTCTCATCAAAGATAAATCAGTATGGAAATCTGTTTTATAACCTTTAAACTCAGTGGAGCTTTGGCGTTATTTGTTATGAAAAGAAATCTCAATTGCTCAGGTAAAAAGGCGTAAAGCTGAAGAAGAGAGGAAAAAGCAAGAACTTGAAGATGCAAAGTTAGCCCAGCGTCTGCAAGCAGATGAGCACAAAAGAGAAGGGTTTCACTCCACTCCTCATCTATCCCATACAGTAAGGTTCTTATATGATAGATTAAATGTAGTCATTTGTTAATTTCATGTATGAGAAAGAAACTAGTATATCACACCCAAAGAATAGAAGATAAGAAAATAATTTCCACATGAATAACATTAATAAATATTGCTAAGTAGGTTAACTTTAAACCTCCTGTTTATAACAGTACTAGGTGTTGTCAAAATAGTCTGACTGCAAATTTTTTGTGGTTGAACACAAGAAATTTGCTGGGCATATTGCTCTCTAAAATGGAAGTTATCGAAGATGTTATACCTGTCTGGATGATGTTATCTGTTTAGTAAATTGATGTTGTGTTTTTATTTCGTATTACAAAGTTTTTAGTGTTTTTAATATTTATTTCTACACCATACATACAAATTGTATAATATGGTAAATTTCTTCTTTAAGGAGGATTGGGCTGTAGCCCCTTCTGCACCATGTGTTGATGATGTTCTTTATCCTGATGACTTTGCGTCCACACCTCCACGAGCACCAGATCACCATTATCAGCCAACACCACCCCTCATACCACCCTCGAGACCACATCAGTGAGTCTTAACTTATAAATAAATTAATTAACTTAATTGAAGAGCTAATAGTGATTATAATACAGGCAGTGGCCTGTGACTTTGTATTATAGTTAGTTTTTTGTGAATCCCACAGGAACATAAAATTACTGAAAATGTCTTAATCCAGGATATAACTATATTAAGCTTGCCAAATTTCATATAAATCTATTGAGCCGTTTTTGTGTGTTTGTGTTACAAAAACACAAACATTCACATTTATGGGGAATGGTTGTGCAATCAAACATAGTGAAGGATATGAATGAACTGGAGGACTGGAGGGGATGTGTATGAGGGAAATGAAGAAAGAATTGCCGATATGTATGAAGAACGACGAGATGTGCGTACTATGCTGTTCTCTAAAGTGTATTATTTAAATAAATAATTTGAAATAATAAGAAGTTGGTATATTTTGACCACTTGTAACGTTTGCCTATTGGGTTACCTACGGTTGCGCAGACATTTTTTTTTGTGTGTGTATACTGTTGGTCGCATATGACCTTTACAGTGTTACCGGGTTTGGGGACGGCGAGATCCTAAGGGGACTTCTAGCCGAAAATTGGCGAGTGTCTCTAGAGGTGTTCCAGGCGGATGGCATCTCCCCACGGAGGGAGGTCCTCTCCGTCTGGATCCTCTAGACCACTCGAACCTGAGGGGGTGCGCAGAGACAGCAGCGGTTTCCCGGCCGCCGCTGTCGGCATCGCGGCGCGTGCGTATCGTCGTAGTGCCGGCGGCATTGCTGGCTCACTTCTTACAGCTAGCCGCAGCAAATGCCGTTCACCGTCATGATTTGTATCCAAATATCAATGAACGGGAGAACGAGAGGGGATGTGTGCGAGGGAGATGATGAAATAATTGCCACGTCACGGATGAACAACGACGAGGGTCGTCCATTAATAACGTGCTTTGTTAAGTTTTTTTTTCTCTTTTTATTATGGAGGGTTTAATCAAATTGATTATTTCACCCTCGAAGATCATATTATATGGTCAAAGCATACGTTTAATACCAATTTTAACAATTTTAGTCAATAATCTAGCTTTTTCTGAAATCGGAAAAGCTAGAATATTTATGCATCCACCAATGTAATATTATATTTATGTATCATTTCCATCCTCTCTGATTCGTTCCGGACACATTCCATTAATTTGTTTATGGTTGCGTAGAGACAGCAGCGGTTTCCCGGCGTCTTTGCCGCCGCTGTCGGCGTCGCGGCGCGTGCGCACTGTCGTGGTGCCAGCGGCGCTGCTGGCTCGCTTCCTGCAGCTGGCCGCGGCAAATACCGCGCGAAACGTGGAGACGTGCGGCATACTCGCCGGCGTGCTGGTTTGTATGAGATCTCAGTGGTTTTTTTGTTTAATAAATTGTGTAATCACACATTTTATAATAAACTGTTCACTCATACATATATTATATATACATAACTTATAAAATAAATAAGTAAATTCTTTAAAGGAACATAACAACACCCTTAAGTATATTTTAAACTTTTGAAACACCCTGTATAAGCTATCAGGATATAACCACCTTAATTATTAAATTTAATTTAATGCTAATTGTTGTGTCCAAAAACTCGTTTAATAATTCAATGATTGTTCAAAAATGGTCTATTTCAAAAACGCATAGCGAATTTCCCGTTCTAATTGGAGCAGTTGAGGAGGTGATGGAGGTCAGATCCTTATAGAGTCGATGCTGTTATAACGTGGCGGGTGGCTGGAGATTTTTTTACTGGATCAGCTACCTCATTCTTAAATTCAGCTATCGTATCTTCGAAATACGACGCCTTTGTGCCTTGTATAAAAAAAAGATCAGTAAAACATTGCCAATCAAATCTCATCACTCAGGAGCGGGACCAACTGAAGATCACCCACGTGGTGGTGCCCAAGCAGACTGGAACTGCTGATTCTTGCAGCACCAACAATGAAGAAGAGATATTCCATTACCAGGACCAGTACAACCTTATCACTCTAGGTTGGATACATGTGAGTATTGACACGTCTAAAGACCGTGTTATAAAAATTAAACACACATAAAGAATTAAAGTGACCTAAGTTAAAAAATATTTTATAAGCCTCTTTTTCATCCCTGGGTTGTAGAGCAACTTATAGAAAATTAGAAATCACGAACATTTTACAGTTGGGCAAGTTTCATTCGAAGTGTGCGCAAAGTGAATCAAACTGAAATGTTTTTTATTGCGCTCCTTTTTGTGCCTGGAAGCTCCATTGTTGGGAACAATGATACTGTCAAGGGACGCAATTTTATAGACATAGGGATGAACTGCGTAATTCCAGTTGAAATCTAAAGTAAATAAGTGTGACAGAGACGAAGCGATTGGTGATACAGTCCGTATGTTAATTTCATTTTGATGACCTCCGTGGCCGAGTGGTTTGTACGCCGGGTTTCATGTTGTCGCTTACTCGAGAGGTCCTGGGTTCGAATCCCGGTGGGGGCAGATGTTTGTGTGATGAATACGAGAAATTTTACTCCAGTCATGGATATTTAATATGTTTTGCTATATAAATATACTTACGTTTTTAATATAATATATATTCTATCCGTAATTTTATGTATTCTATCCATTACCCTAGTATCCCATAACACAGGCCTTATAGTGCTTACTTTGGGGCTAGGCTAATTGGTGTGAGTGTTGGAAATATTTATTTATATTTATTTATTTATTCGAGTTAGCCATTAGCATATGCAATGCAGTCCAAATGTCGTCCTAAAAATCACGATTATCCTTTTCTGATTTGAGAATTTTTAACACGTATTTATTTGAACCATAACTATAAGTTCTTGGACGTTTTCAACAGACACATCCGACGCAGACCGCATTCCTATCTTCAGTGGACCTTCACACGCAATGTTCCTATCAACTCATGATGCCTGAAGCTATCGCCATCGTGTGCGCACCTAAATACAACGAGTAGGTTTAATTTTAGAATGATGTCACTTAACTAACCACCACTAACTTCACAAACTAAACGTTTGGATGACAATGCATGATGGTGTATACAAAATTTCATCTCAAGAAAAATTATATAATATTTCAACGTCGAAAGAAAGATTTTGATTAGTTAAGTTATATATCGTGAATGATTGAATGTTTGTTTTTTTATAAAATCTATCCCATGTATATTTGTTTTATGAAATTGCTATTCATATCGGCAGATGCACATAATTAAATCTGGTTGAAAGTTCTCCAGTAATATTAATACCATTCATTCGTTTCATTCACTTTTCGTCACATCACTATGAATTTCTACCTATTATTTTTGTCATTCATTCGTTATTCCGCGCCTTTTATTTTAATCGAATTATTTACTAGAATACTAACTTTTTAGTAATTAAAATTTCTTGTATATAATAGGAAACACCATGTTTCAGCAGGATTGAAGTAGCAGATCGGTTTTTGCATGAGAAAACATCATTTTCCATTTTTGTGTGAGCTCCGACTCGCGACACGGAACGATCCAAAATAAATGGAACGTCGATATTACATATAAAACCTAATATTTTAATTAAAATTAATACGTTTTAGACCCAGCAATATGGCAAAAAACAAGAGTTGCGATTCGTCCACTAGGAAGATTATTTTCAAAGGCGTCTCCCGTTATAGATACCCGTTATAGAAGGTTGAGGCTTATTATTATAATAGCCGCTTGAAAATTATGTTGCATGATTTGACCCAAAAAACATACATACATTAAATAAAAGACATAGAATTTGTAATTTAAAGTTCAAGAAAATATAGTTATACTGAAGTTGGTCCTTCGAGCCGGATATTTTAAACTTTTCTAATGCTATCGTCGTTATACTAAATGATATATTGTGCATATTGTTATTGTTTTTAGGACTGGCTACTTCGCTTTGACGGCAGATGGCATGGAGTTTATCACAAACTGTAGACAGACCGGCTTCCATCCACATCCCAACGATCCACCGTTGTTTTATGTAAGTATTGTTTACTTGTCTCTTTCTTTTCTTATTATTTTAATTCCGTAGAGAAGGCGGAGGGGGGGGGGGGGGGGGGGCAAATCCGTAGAATAATTTTTAGTAATAACAATTTTTAGGGTTTCGTACTTCAAAAGGAAAAAACGGAACCTTTATAGTATCACTTTGTTGTCCGTCCGTCCGTCTGTCAAGACCGTTTTTCTCAGGAACGCGTGGAGGTATCAAACTGAAATTCATATCTAATACTCAGATCTACTGTCCCTTGGAGCTGTGATGTGAAAAATCAAACTTCTAAGCCAAAGCAATCAAATGATACAGCCGTTTATGCCGCAAATTTTCGAAACTCGCACGGGAATCAAAACCTACAGGGTACTTCCCGTGAACTTAGAATCTTGAAATTTGGTACGGAGTAACGTCTTATAGTACAGATAAAGGAAAAATTGCAAAAACCCTAAATTTTGAGTTACATCATATAATAAAAATATTTTTGAAAATTTTAAAGACCTCTTTTCTCATGAACGCGTAGAGGTATTAAATTGAGTTTGTAACTAACCTTCGGTGCACGAGTCCCACTCGCACTTGGCCGGTTTTTATTTAACAGCCTTTCTACTTTAATAGTTTCCGACACTGACACGTCCTAGTATACCGTTTTATATATACTGTTGTATCCTATCATGTTATCTTTATTATCACTTTAAAATTATAATGAAATAAGTTATTTTAAGAACTACTACCATATATATATATTCTCACCAATAATTTTTTATTTTAGATACTATCTTACGAATGAAAGGTAGACGTACATGATTGAATTTTTCGATCGGTACAGTAAAATTACCGGTAATTTATTACCTATTTACATTTAGCGGGTTCGTATCCCTGTTCAGACAGGCGGTTTGTTATGATTTTGAGAAAGTTTGAATGCAATTCGTATTGTTTATTAAAGTAAAAATGAAGTCTTCTACCAGCAAAACATTATATATACAGTCATTAGGGTACTTTCCCTCCATTTGGCAAAGTTTTGGGACATCCTGTATAGGTGGTTGATCATTTTATGAATCATTATAAAATACGACAAAATATTCTTATTCTAGTGACGACCTCCGTGGCCGAGTAGTTTATACGCCGGGTTTCATGGTGTCGCCGACTCGAGAGGTCCCGGGTTCGAATCCCGTCGGGGGCAGATGTTTGTGTGATGAATACGAGCATTTGTACTCCAGTCATAGATGTTTAATATGTATTTTTATATAAATATACTTATATATGTATTCTATCCATTACCCTAGTATCCCATAACACAATCCTTACAGTGCTTACTTTGGGGCTAGGCTAATTGGTGGGTGTTGAAAATATTTATTATTTATTACTATTATTATAAAATACGAAAAAATATTCTCAGGACGTGAAACACATCAAATTAGATAACGCCGCGCCCGTCGAGATGGTCGACTTAAGAAGATGAATCTCTGGAGCCTGGTAACTATGGCGTCTACTGACGGCATTTTTATGCACAGATTTAAATCTACACACACATCTTGTTAGGGAGAGTTTTCAATATGCTTATTTTTATGGTATCTTTCCCAACGGTATATTTTTGATTTTTAAACATAGTCGGTTTTACTACTAGAAAGTTAGACACTGTTTTATAACGTGTTTAGGCAATTTTGTATGTTTTTTTTTTCTTTAACTCGTGTTGAACGCATGTCTAACTTTTTTGTGGTAATAAGAATAATTTAGAAACAATAATAATAAATATTATTATGTAGTGCCTCTACCTTTCTCTGTCAATGAGGCTAAAATATGTTACAAGCTTTAATTAATGCCGGAACTAACCTATTAAACTTATCATAACTGTAATCTAAAAGTGAGTTGGTAGTTATATTGTTACAAGCTTGAGAAGACACAGTCAAATTAATCGTTGTAGATACTTTCTGACACATGTGTGAATTAAACATTTTTGCACATTCATCTTTCCTTTGCACTTGGCTGTGTTCTACCAAATAAATTAAAAGAATAGAATAGAAAAATATTAAAGTAGGTATTAAATAAAAAAAAGAACAAATTAAAACTTAAATCCTACTATACCAAAATGGTTTTCGCTTAACATAATAACGCAACAATCTGGTGTTGGTGTTCAATGAAATGAGACTCCCCGATTGAATTAGATTGATTTTTTATTTAAGCTGTGTTAATTAAATGTCGAAAAAAATACCTTATATTTAACTGATGTTTCAACTTTAATTTAGATTCTTACACATTAGAATTCTAGTACATATTTTGCATTAATTGTTATTGTAAAATAGAAAACATTTTATTGGGTTATAAACCTTACTGTTATCTTTCTTAGGATGATTATTTCATTTAAATGATCGTTTTTCTAAATTGATTACAATCACTTGTGTCTTGTCTAAGTTATTTGTTAATCTATTTTCATCAAACGTGTTAGTGGGTGAAGAAGTTTATTTATATATACCTATTTGTTATACTTACGAGAAATTTGTTTATACTTAGTTGACTAGAAGAAAAATGTTTTGTTTATAACATTCATGCATTTATTATAAAGGAAAAGATATAAATGGCACTCAAAATACAAAAAAAAATGTGTAAAAAATCGTTAGCAATATTCCTATTCCCTTTCGAGGCGGATATCAACATGTTTTGTTTAAATCACATCTGCAATTGCATCACAAGCAACCGAACAACTAAGTTATCTTTCAAATAGCTATTTATTTACGTTCATTGAACATTATTGTTGAACTTGTTTGTTTTGTTATCTTGTCTATTTCAGAGACTATTATTTGACTATTTTTACATTGATTTACGGCAGTTAAAAGATAAAATAGATATAAACTACAAATATTATAAGTAACGGTGTCCGCATACAACACATTTTTTATTGTAATAAAGGGGGGGACTATTTTTACGTGTGACGTGCCTGATTAGTTAATATGAAATTCGTACATATTTCATTATTTCATCGGATAAATAATAGGAAACTTTAATGAATTAGCTGACACATGCCAACCAGCACCCATTTAGCCACCATTTTTATAATAACTTGATAGTGGATATTACTACGCTTATTCTTCACGCATAATACATATTATATGAATTTTATCTCTTATATGTATAAAGTATGTAGTGGTTCATATTGTTAAAGATGGTGTTACAATTTTATTTAAAAAAATATTTCGTAATACGGAGCAGAAGAAATTATTTTCTTACACTAATATTGGTTCAGCTTATATTATTTTTTATTTAATATAACTAACTGTTGATTGTGATAATTTAGGCATTAGGCACAGCTGAAGACTGAAGCTTACACTTTTAGTATTAAAGTTAATATTTAACATATAACTATCTGTATGATAATCATAAATAGATGTGACTTCTTGTATAATACAATAAACATTTACTTCAGACTTACAATCCATATAGAGGTGTTAGTAACAGGCGTATTCTTATTCTAGTGTAGTGTTACTTAATGAAAAACATAATATAATAAAAAGTAATCGAAATATTCTTTTATGGCTACATGATATAATGTATCATCACGATATACTTACTGGCAAGTCTCGCAAACTCATCATATAAAGCACCTCGCGCTACTTATTGGCGGTCGTATAGTACGACCACGACCAAGACCAGTGGCCGCAACGACCAGATAAACTAACGTTAGCCGTTGCGGCCAAGTGAGAGAGAGGGAAAATTTTTATTAACCAATGTGGTCAATAAGCAATCTACATCACAAAAAAATAACATTTTGAAAATTATAGGTAATGAAAAATAGTTATTTATTATACAAGAGTGGAAAGTTCCTTTTTAACCGCGTGCTCGATTTGGATGACCGAGCAAGCGAAGGAAACAAACGAGCACAAGGTGAAAAATCTTTCCACTCGAGTGCAATACGTAACTTTTCATCCCACCTCAGCGAGGAAATGACAAAATGAAAAAGAAAACAATTTATAATGACAAAATATTTAAGCAATAAAACGTGAAAAACTAGAATGGCGCGAAGCACGCAAATAAAACAAAGAAACCAAGAAGGTTCCAAATTTAAATTTTTTCACAATTTAAAAAGTTCTAATCATAAATTTGGCACCATAGAGGTTACATTAAATAGGTTTAATGACGTTTTGAATTTACAATTATATTGAGTACTCATTATATGTGATGTTCTAAATTCAAATCTACTTTGCCGCTCAAGCGAATAAAATAGAATTTTCCAGCCAGATTTCGAAGCGCAAAATTACACTTTCCGAGGTGGTGGGATGAAAAATATATTATATTACATTGTCATTTGTGGTCAATCAGAACCCTGCCTCAGCATAATGCTGCCGCAACACGTCACAAAACGTGTCACAACAGTGCTGGTATTCTGGCAGGGCCTGTAACTGCTGGTTCTTCAAACGACCAATCCCAGCCGCAATCGTAAACTCGACAGCACTCTTTTCTTCTCACTCCCCGTAAAAGAGCGTGATACGAATACACTGCTATCAATCCAACACATAGCAAACACGACTAGCCACGTGACGGGTCAGCATAAGGTGCGAAAGAATACGGAATCACACTTTTCGTAATCTGTGGTTGTCGCTCATAGAGGTATAAGAATGGAGTAGGGGACATAAGTACTCTACTACAAGTGCAAGTGTCCGTCTAGTAGAAAGAGAAAGAATATAAGAGACGGGTAGCTATCTCTCTCTCTCTTGTGACGCTGCGCAGTCGTGTGATTGGTCGGTATTCTTCCGTAGGTTTTTCCTCCAATACGCATTCGCGATTAGAGAGAGAAAGGCTAGCCGTCTCTCATCTTCTTTCTACTAGACGGACACTTTTAGAGCCGCTTACCCCACTCTATTCTTATACCTCTATGTTGTCACTTGTTATTGTTACCATGGAGGTTAGAGATAAGGAGAACGATCGCTACTAAAGAATTAGCCTGCCTGTCCTTAAAATTTGTAGAATTTATAGTTCATTTTTCAGCTACCAGCCACGCTGCTGTCGGTAAGTAGTACCTGTAAAGTTAACTGTTTATAAGTACAAGTAGATGCAGTTAGTTGAATATTGTACAAATTTTCTTCGCGGCCATTGGTCATTTCAAATCAGCCCGCTTTTATTTAGACAACTTAGCAATCGCAGCGCCTCACTCATTTTGTCCATATTTCTGGGACACTTTTCTACAGCGATCGTTCTCCTTATCTCTAACATCCATCATTGTTAGTGTAATAATAATAAAAACTTTATTGGTTAAAAAAAACTGTGTACAATTTTGCAGTTGGAATTGCAATAATAACAAAGACACAACAGTGTGCCCACAACGGGCATGCAATGGTAAAATTTATAACTTAAAAGTATCTGAATTTAAAAAGTACATTTTAGAGCCTAAATTATATTATGTCGTCACACATACCGCACAAAAACATTGAAGTGCGCGAAGTTCGTATGGTTTCTTTAGTTAATCTGGTCGTTGCGGCCACTGGATGTGGTCGTGGCCGTCTTGTGCGCGAGGTGCCTAAGTCGGCGTAAAAATCAGTCGGAGACGTTGCATTAGTTTGTTCATAGCATTCTTACTAGTCATGTATTTGGATAAGTTTACGTAGCCTTATTCCCAAAGGGTAATGACTTCATTCCCATTTGTCTCCGGTGGCAAAACCCGCGGGGGCGACTGGGAATAACGGTTACATGGAATGTCTGGTTAGTTTTTCATTCCTGCATCAATTACAAACAAATGTAGTACATACATAGTGGGACGACCTCTGAGTGGTATATACGCTGGGTTTCATGGCGTTGCCTACTCGTGAGGTCCCGGTGGGGGCAAATGTCAGTATGATGAATACGAGCATTTGTACCTTAGTCATGGATGTGTATGTAGTTTTCTAGATGAAATATACTTATATATATCAGTGTATTTATTCTATCTGTTACCCTAGTATCCCATAACACAAGCCTTACGTGCTTCCTTTGGGGCTAGGCTAATTGGTGTGAGTGTTGGAAATGTTCATTTATTTATTATTATTATTAATTATACTTCTTACCCCATCTTTATCTGATAAAGGGAACATTTACGTCTTGCTAAAACACACTACTAAAAATCTGACTTTAAACTCATATGCTTTTGCTTTAATTTTCAATATGAACAAAGTTATGTTCAGCTTTATTGGTTAATATTAAGAACTAAATTCTTTTAGGCTTAGGCTCAAGCTTAGGTTCAGCTTAAGTCGTGGTGGCCGCGACTTTTTTCACTCATCTTGGGATGTTTCATGCTTTATTCGGAGTAGATGATCTTAAAGTGAGAAGCTCGATAGCGCAATCGTTAGTGCATTAAAACAGCGATCGTGTAACTTAAGCAACTTTCGCAATGGAGGGTCATAGGATGGGCGACCAAAAACTTATTGGATCGAGCTGGATGAGCTAAAAAATAAATGTTTTGGCATGCTTTTCAAGTCATTCCCGCGGCTGTATAGCTGCAGTTATTAGCACCTATTGGGCCAGCGTGATGGATTATGGTTGTCCCTATTCCAGCCATAGGAATGGTCTTTGCCCCAGCAGTGGGGTCTTTAATATGGTATATACAGGTGATGATGAATTTTAAAGTAAATAATAACCAGTTTGTAAAACTAATAAACGTTTGTGTGGTGGGCACTGTTAATGTGTTAGGTACTATTTACAATTGGTGTACACACATTTGTATTGTATAATCGTAATTTATGTTCGATACAGCAAAAAGATACTAATACTTGGTCACATAAGCTTTCGCTTTGCCAATCTTATTATGAACTGAACCCACATTAATGAATTGTTACATAACTCGCATTTTGTACCTTATACTATTGATATTATTTCCATCTCTAAAGTATAAATGAATAAAAATGTAATTTTTACCCGATTTTATTTTAATACCTTTATTTTTATTACAAGTGGTGATTAAGGTATCTATACAATGAAATGAATAAATGGGCCTTATTTTTTTTTATAATACATTCCTACCTACTAATTCCTAAAAAGTGAATAATCTCTGAGTATATTATTATTCTTTAACGGATTTTGCATTTGTATTTGATTAAGCATCGGTGCAAGCCCATATATTTTAATCTCTCGGTCTTGTAAATTAAAATAACGTGAGCTTGTAAAAAACTTTGTAACCAAAAAAAAATGAAAATCGTCTTTGTATTTTATTGTACACAAATGAAGTTGAGTGCCATTTTTGAACACGTTTGTAAAGTAAAGTTAATGTGATATGGAAATGTATAAATCACTGTCAATTATGTATCATAATGATTCGAAACCTTGTTACATTGTGATAAATACGATTATATTATTAGGAGTCTCAAGGTTGCATTTCCTATGTAATGTATAGATAGAGTTGATAATATCAACGATATAATTGATGAGTGTGCATTGCTGGTATTTATTAGGTTATAGTCTTATGTGTGATTCATTTGTTAAATGGACCAATGAAATAAAAGTATCGAAACTACAACATATTTTATTTATTGCATAACTTAATTTACAGTATTGCAACTGATGATACCCACAGCAGATCAGTAATATTTCATTAATATATTTAGTAATTTTATAAAATTAAATTACTTTTCATTTGTTTTACCGATTCCTTATTATTATTGGATTTTTTATAAATTTTATAATACAACATTCAATTGAATAGAGAAATCGGTAAAGCTAGTGTCTAATAACATTAATGCTTAAGTAATTGTTATAATGTAACACTATCTACGTGTTGCAGTATTTTTTTTTTCTATTCTCTAAACGTGCAGACTAGTCTTTAAATATATTATCAAAGCAGTTAAAATGTTTGCATCATCAAGTACAAAATACAATTAATTGAAACTTAGATATATTTCCTTAATCTAAAATAAAAAATGTTTTTCAATACTTAATTGTCTGGGTGATATTGTTTACCTATTTCCGCGATTCCTTTTGATGTTGAAACATGTGTTAATGTGTCTCCTTCCATTATATAAAATTAAAGAATCGCGATAGAATTAAAAATTACTTAAGTAATTAATTAGCTCACTGATCCACAGATATTTATAACACTTTTTCGTCTAGAATAGCTTATAAATCATTCGGTTACCTAGGTAAAGTGGAGACAATACCTTAAAAGTAGAGATTGGATAATCGGATGCATATTTACCTAATGCCGGCACTTCACTTGACTATTCGTATTTGATAATTGTAAACTTGACCACAGTCCGCCCATATCATGCTTTATAAGAAATAAAAAGGAGAGAATGCTGTCAATTTCACAAATGGCAAACATGAATAGCCAAGTGAAGTGCCGGCATAATGTTCAAATATTGGCTAATATATGGAAAGAACTTTTTTTATCGCAAAAACCCGCGGAATTCAAATTTAACTGTATACTCCGTGAGATCTAATAAACCCAGATTGACATAAATAACAGTTGCCCTGAGTTTATAACATAAAAATATTGTCTAAGATATTCTAATGAATAAATAAATTTATATTCATTTTAACCACACCACCATTTCTCTTACATCATTAAACTTTAAGTAAATATACTTCCGGTCACTTATGTGATCCCGGAATCTCGGAATTTTATTTTTAATAAAAGATATCCTAGGAAGCCTCTTCCGTAATTTGTTATCCGAAAAATAACTTAAATGCATCCGATTATCCGATTTATACATATATTCGAAAGAACACTCACGTTAACTTAATAGTTTAAAGTATGCAATGAACTATAAAATTACTTGTCGCAAGCTTTATGTTTATCGAAGATTTGTCTTTATGCACGGAACAGGGATGTTGCCCTTTTTTAGGGTTCCGTACGTCACAAGGAAAATCCGGAACCCTTATAGGATCACTTTGTTGTCCGTCTGTCAAGACCGTTTTTCTCAAGAACGCGTGGAGGTATCAAACTGAAATTCATATTTAATACTCATGTCTACTGTCCCTTGGAGCTGTGAAAAAATCAAACTTCTAAGCCAAAGCAATCAAAAGATACAGTCGTTTATGCCGCAAATTTTCAAAACTCACGGAAATCAAAACTTACAGGGTTACTTCCCGTGAACGTAGAAACTTAAAATTTGGTACGAAGTAACGTCTTATAGCACAGATAAAGGAAAAATTGAAATGAGTAATTTGCTGTTTCTTAATCCCATTAATAACAAACGAACGACTTAATACTCAAGTTTAAAAGGGACGAACATGTTCACGTTAACGAGTTAAAGAGAAAATGTCATATACAATTTTTTTACAGGGTTTTTAGATATTCGGTGTTTTAGTACATGCTTTGATTAACAATATCACCTGGAAAGCCTACTCTATTTCCATACTCAAATAGATAAATTTACCTCGTCTCTCTCATAATTAATTTAATACCACTAGACTTAGCTGAGTATTTATATTTAAAAGCATTTTTACACACTACGTTTTAATAAGGCACTTGGTGCAACATTGTTAGTCGTCAATCGTCATATTATTCTAGTAAGGATAAGACTACACTTTAGGTGGTAAGCTTAGAAACTTTGGGGATTATGTTAATAAATTGCTTTTATGGTTATTAACATGTAATAGTTTTGGTTTGTGTTTAGTACTTTGGATGATGATTGAATGAAAGCACTCAATCATGATCCAGAGTACTAGAAAAGTCAGTAACATGTTCCAAATATATAATATTTTATCCATATATGGTATCATATTATAAAGATATACCTAACATTTATCAATCAATGGATCTTTGGTTCATCATCGCCATTCAATTGTGTTCCTTCGAGTAATACCTGCCTGCAACGTATGCTATTTTTATGTAAGTATAATAAATTAATTTAAAAAGATCCAAGACCAAATATCAATAACATAATTACATAAATATTTTAGGTTATCTTTACATTTTTGTATTTTATGTACACTACAAACAAAACGGCTACATTCTACCTTTAGTAAATCCATATTGCTATGCTTTGCGATATTCAATTATGTTTTTATCTTATAATACTTTCTGGAGATGTTCATGATAATAAGTCTTATAATAGTAACTATTTATTACTTTATGGCATTTTATTAATAAATCTTTTTGTGTGTGATTCGCAGTCACCCACAGAGCAGAAAAAGAAACTGTTTTGTACAGTCACTACTGGGGGCCTACCGCCTAGCCTACGATTTCATTTTGTTATTTCTGACTGCCGAAGGTTTTCATATACCTCACACTCATTTTTAAATTAGTAATAATACCTACTATAAAAGAAAATGAGCGTGAGGGATATGAAAATCTTCAGCGGTCAGAAATAAAAACAGGAAATCATAAGCTATAGCAATAGTCAACAATCCCGAAAGGCATTAGGCCTCCCGCTGGTCATCACACGGTCTGATTGAAAATTTAAAACCCTGCCAAAAATATCATGAACGGCTTTTTGTCCCTAATTCAGCAAATAACTACGAGACTTCAGTGTTATCATCACAGGGGGTTATCATGGATTGGTCTATATTTTGTAGTATATAAGCCTAAGTATAAATAAATTTATAATTATTGCACTAAGATATTGCTTTACTTTTAACAAACATTTGCCAATATTTATTACTTAAAAGAATGCCAAACTTAGAACATAATAATAATAATATGTTTAACTGATGTTATGGTTTTTATTTACCAAGATACTTGTAACACTTTTAGATATCTCATTTGTATTTAAATTTCATAAAACTTATTAGTATCATTATGAATCGTCATTATTTAGCGATGCTTACTTAGAATATCAGCACACTCCACGCTGTTTTAATATGTATTTTATATATAAGTGGTAAATAAATAGATAAAAAAAAAACTTAATATATTAACTAATAACATTTTTCAATAACTCACACTTATAAATTTTTCTTTTTCTTAAAAACAATAAGTAAAAATGACATACATAGATTTTATGTTTCATGAATGGCAGTTATTAATAGTAGGTACCTATATAAAGTAATACCTACGTAGATTTTTTTTAAGAAGTGATACTATTTTATTATATGAGGCAACAAAATACCCCACACCACGTGATGTTAAGTGTAGGTTGAGTTCAGTCGCGAAGATAGATGATGCGGCAGAAAGTGTGCCGCTCCAGCTATACTCAGCTAGCCGGCCTGAACCCATTCCCCTACCCTGCAGACTCCTGGAACCCTACTCACCAGCAGAAACAACAAAAGGTAGTGTTATATTTCTGTGGTCTTCGGAAGGTCCTTTAAGAGAGGCGTGAAGAAGCATTTGTGAAGGCAGGCAAGGTGAGGATGGTTGAGGTGTCAGTTTATAACTGCTGTACCAGCTATCTTCGCGTTATGACTTTATTAGCACTTTACATCAGTTGGGGTAGAGTCATTTACCTACCTGACTATATAAAAAAATGTGCCGACGTGTAGTGGTGTGTTTGGCCATTTAGAATAAAATAAGCATTCCTAAGTGCTAACAGCATATTAGTATAATTATTTTATGATTGCAAGTATATGCAAATTGAGTGTGTATAGCATAACATACAGAAGGCACCATCACGGATCGTCGTAGTCTCTTTTATAATACTATTATTTTATAAAATATATATATTGCTCTTAATGAAATATAAGTACAAATGCGTGTTTCATTATAAGCATATATTTGTATTGTGAATTCATGTAGGTGAAAGAGTTTAAAAAAAAGCATTGTAGGTAAGTATATGTATAAGAAAAGGTCTAGGAAAATACAGGAAGCCTTAAATTTACGACACATTATTATTTAAAATAACCATGTCTTTATAAACAAGACTTTTTTACCTAATTTGTAATGGTACAGTTGCAGGTACAAATGTGGCGTAGGTACCATGTGTAATTAAGTAGATACCGATTAATTTTAATTGTTTACACACACCTAGATTTAGTCATCATCATCATCATCATCATCAACAGCCCATGTTAGTCCACTGCTGGACATAGGCCTCTAAAAATGCACGCCACTCAGATCGATCTTGGGTAGGGCTGCCATCTCTAAAATGTGGCAACCAGGATACGATGCGTGATAACCCCGGATTTTGGAGCCCAGAACCCGGACAGACCAATAAAAAAACAGTTAAAAATGTCACACATCAACTTTTTTATGTTGATCTAGGCAAAAGAGCTAGCGGCTACCTCATAATAAGTGGTCACTACTGCTGCCCATGGACACTTGCAGCGCCAAGGGCCACTTATGCGTTGCCGTAAATTTTTAAACCCGGACTACAAATAAAACCCCACCCGGACGCTCCCCGGACGCCCCGTAAACTAGGACAAATCCGGGGAAACCCGGACGGATGGCAGCCCTAATCTTGGGCTACATTTAGTAATTAAATAATATAAATTTAACAACTTTTTCTCATTTTTTTTATATTTCCACACTCGTTATAATAGAAAATAAATCAAAGCCCCCCAGTACTTCATATTTTAGTTCTACTTAAAACTATTTATATTATCCTTCTTACAGTTAATTATAATATTAAAAATACCAATTTAAATGGTGCTTAGGTAACATTTAACCAACAATATGTATATTAGGTATCTATGGTTTTAACTTTTCTGTTTAAACTTGCCTATAACTATATTTAATTCAAATAAATAGGTACGTAATGTAACGTTGTACGTGAATAAAGGTCGTATAATAAGTAAATAATATAATATCAATAAGTTATAAAATTTAAACTAAACATTTTTCAATGTTTACAAAAAACTGCGTCAGAGGCGAAATCTTAATACTATAACTTATTAAAAACATTACTAAAAAAAAGTGAGGAATTCAAATAAGTAGTCGTCGCAACCGCGCGCGCGTACCTAAACGCGTAAGCGCGTTGAAAACGGGAGTTTGTTTATAGTTCCCGCTGGGGTGAGTTTAAATACTGTCTAGGATTAATAACAGTATTGTAATGATGTTCTCTTCTCTCTAAAAATCTTAACGTAAACTTTGTAACGCCAGTCTGTCCTACTCCTATTTTTTTAATTTTGAACCGTTGGCCGTTTGGGACCGTCTTCGTCGTCGTCTTGGGAGAGTCCAGGAGCAATTTATTAAGGTGCTGCCCTTTGGGTTCTAGGTCGTAAGCCTACCGTACCACAAGCGAAGACCGAGCCCTGTTCCCAGAGGCTGCCGGAGGATTTTCAACCGGGAAACAGCTGCACCACTTTAACGGACATTCGTCGGCTGTACCTTCGACTAATCTGGACACGAATGTTCCCAGGCCAGTGACCCCCTTTATTTCCCCCCTTGAGACGCGACGGTCACAGAACTGTATTTGAACACAATATAAATATCATTTGGTACTAAGCCAATCTTTTATTTCCGAACACACTACATGCGAGCCTTACAGGCCGCAGTAAATTATTCTTTACTTTTTTAAAACACACCAATACAATTTTTTCACTCATGAAAAGTTTAATTTGATCACAAAGGTGTTTTGTATTCCCGTTTTTTTTTTCAATAGGTAAACATAATGTATGAAAGGGATCACAATAACATGAACTTAATTACCTTCGATAATGAAATGTATTAAATACATGTAACCAAAGTGATAGAAATTAATAAAGTTGATAGTTCCACCGTTCTTTTTACCGCTGAGTTGACTACTCTCTTGACTTTGGAAGGAGGTTCGATGTGGATGGTCTTGTTCTGCATCCAGTAGAAGACGTCGGTGAGACCTCGGGCCTTCAGTTCTGGCCCAACAGTCGTCCTTATCCTTTCGTTGTAAGCGTTCAGCCAACTTATCTGAAAGTTTTTTTAAGTTAATGCAATACGTATAGAAATGTTATAGAGCTACTTCACACCTTTTAATTGTCTTGGGTTAAGAGTTTATGGATACTAAAAAAAAAGTCTCAAAAGTTAACGGTTCGCCTTCGCAAAAGCTGGGTCAAATGCTTTGAAATGAGCCATAAACCAGGTTGGTTATAGGCATTTCGCCAATCGGCAGGCATATTATCCGACTGAGATCAGTACCCATGATCTCGGATAATAACTCGGTAAACTATTTCACTAAGTATTCTTATAAAATACAGATACTAATTTGTTATATATGTACTACTCTAATACTAACAGATTGTTAGTGTAAAATATTATCTTCTACATAGGTCTTCTGCATAGGTCCTATGATATACAACAACATCGTTAAGTGTTGCTAGAGGTGCTCATGAGCAGTGTTGCAGGACAAAAAACCAATTAAGCAATCAAGACAAAAGATATCGAAAGAATTTTTTCCTACAACAATATCTGGATTCGAACCAGCATTCATCGTTACCCGGGCGCTATACAATTAAGATATGTCATTAACTCCTCCTTGTTCGTGCAAAATAATAAATACTTAACTATCGTATAAAAATGAGAGAGCTTTTAAATGGGTCTGTTAAAATTAACTGAATTGTGTACGGGGTTAAAGCATCATCTATCCCATTTTAAAGACTTGAGTGTGTTTTTTTTAACAATTACAGTTTACAGGCAGTTGAATTTTACGACCGGTAAAATTTGGTCCTATCATTCCTTGCCGGGGCGGAACGACAGACGCTGTCGATTTAAAGAAACAAATAAATCCTGTTACCTCATAATCGGTGAGCATATTCTTATCTATTAGTTTCGGCTCGTACGGTATCAGCGTGGCTTCTCGGAAGCCGATGTACATGGAGCCCTTGGGGATCACTTCTAGTACGTTTCCCAAACTAACACCGAATTTAGTGTCGTACCACGCTGGCTCTGGAAAAATTAACAGTAAAGTTTTACTAATACCTAATAAATTAACGCTCAGGGTAGCTATTCTTATAAAAGCTGAATTAGTAGCTATGTAAACTGTGTGAATCAGTACCTAATTAAGGAAGAAATAATTTTGTGCAATGGATTATTATTACTTCTTTAAGAGATGTGGGGCTTGGCAGATTTCCCGCTCGAATTAGTGGCACCACCTTAAACGGGCTCTAAAGAAATAATCTCCACCTTACAGAAGGCCATTGAAAAATATCGGTATCTTTGGGTGATATTCTGTTTCTGTCCGTGAGGATTTAAGGTTTCCGGAGCCCCACAAGGCCCGTGTGGTCATCAGATGGATCATATTATGCTTTTTTCACAATAAAAATAAATTAATATGAGCAAAATTAAATGTTGTAGTAACACTTACCGCTAGTTATAAAATAACCTTCTTTGAGAGTATGCAGATTAACATCTTGCCTGTAGTCGATCACCACTGGATCTAGAACAATGGGGAATTTAATTATATTTTTATACTCTTGATACTTTGATCCGTAACCCTAATGTTATCGCCAATGTAATGAACTTATATTTTATTCTAAGGAGTAGCAACTTTAAGTGTTAAACTGTTGAGGGTGCAGCATAGGTTGAGCATAGTTACCAAGCTTCACGATAAATTGCAAACTAATCTCATCCAACTCTGTTCGACCAACATTCGCAAAGGAACTAACTATCTTACTATCGAATAGTTTTGTCCATGGGAAAACCGCTGTATCCAATAAAAATATGGAATGTCGCAATCTACGTGTGCATGTTCTACATTTCGCGGGCAGCAGTATCTTATACGTATATTCTGTTTAGTGCAGTTCCTACGTCGTGTTTTGTAGGGCACATACTATTGCTAGGCGCTAAGGTTTGGCAATCACAAAGGTGCGGGCGCGAACGATAACAATGCAGGCGCCAACATTGACACTTGCATTCCCTCCAGTTGAGTTCATAGCCTATGCCGTGGCATTCAGAATTCTTGTTTGGCGAGCCACTTAGACTGCTGCGCGTCTGGCAGACGCCACCAAACGGTGTAGGTACAGCTTCTATTCGCTTTCAGAATGGTTATGTAGTATCCTACCTTTTCTTCTGTTGAATGCCGCTCCTACACAGTGTCCAGTGTGATGCACATAGTCTTGCTTGATGAGTCACAGCGCCTGTTTGTACTGCCTACAGCGAGGCCCTCAGGCGCAATTTTCTGCTTCTACTCGCGTGCGGAACGCTTGTGTATTATCCTACCTTCTCTCCTGTTAAGTGCGGCTCTTAGGTACCCGTGCCCCGTGGGATGCACATAGTCTGCTTTCGCGAGCTACAGTGTAGTGCGTGCGAAGGGGTCAGCAAGCTGCCACCGACAACCGACTGCACTAGTAATTGCTTACATTGTTGTAGTATCCCAGCTTCTTTTCAGTTCAATGTGGCTCCTATGCTGTCCCATGGGATGTACATAGTCTTGTTTGTTGAGTCACAGCGTCTGCTTGCACTGCCTACTGCGACGCCATCCAGTCTATTACTGATCTACTCTCAGAACGGTGTTGTAATATCTTATTTTCTCTCCTCTTGAATGCAGCGCCTACGACGTGCTCCGTGAGATGAACATAGTCTAGTTTGGCAAGCACAGTGGAGCGCGTGCGATGGGGCTAGCGTGAGCGGCCGGTAGTGATGCGGGCGCCTCCACGACGCCACCGAGCGCAGTTTTGCTCCAGGTCTTGCTAGAACGAGGGTGTATCCACCTCTTACCTTTCCTCCTGTTAAGTGCAGCTCTTACGGCGTCTCCCGTGGGGTGCACATAGTCTTCTTTGGCGAGCCACAGCGATAGCATGCATAGCCTGCAGCGACGCCACTAGCTCAGTACTGCTTCTACTCGCGCTTGGAGCGTTGGTGATAAAGTATCTTCCCTTCTGTTAAGTACAGCTCCTATACCGTGTCCCGTGGGATGCACATCATAGTCTTGTTTGGCGAGCCACAGTGGAGCGCGTGCCAATGGGGGCTGCGTAATGATGTAGGCACCTGCAGCGCCATTGAACTGCTGTAGTAATGAGGGCGTTTGCAGTGACGCCACGGAACGCATTGCAGCTGCTTCTACTGGCTCTCAAAACGGTAATGCAGTATCTAACCTTCTCTCCTGTTGAGTGCAGCTCCTACGCCGTGTCCTGTGGGATGCACATAGTCTTGTTTGGCAAGCCACAGTGGAGCGCGTGCGATGGGGTCAGCGTGAGCAGCTGGTAGTGACGCGGGCGCCTGCAGCGACGCTAGCGCTGCCACGGAACGCAGCACCGTCGTGTACGCGTGTTTCATCTCACGAGCCGGCACGCCGTAGTGCAAGGTGCGTGTCACCACAGTCGTTCCCTCTATAAAATGAAATTGGTTGTTGTATGTAATTAAAAAATCGGAAAAGTGCGAGTCCGTACAATATTTAAAGCTGGAGCAAACAGAATAAGTGAAAAATCGTGTTTCATGTATGAAGGCCTTTTAGTGAGTAGCGAGTGGTGAAGTAGTTACTCCGGCTCAGAGTTGAGTGACCGATTGCAACGCGCTTGAGCGCATTAGCGCACCAACGAAGTCAGTCTGCGCTTAATGGGTCATCTCCACAACCTTGACGAGATTTTGTTTATATGTTTATATAAGTAAACGCTTACCATCATACTGTCCACCTCAGCGGATGATGAGCGTGGATTTGGTGTATATGCGTCGGTTAGTATGTGGCGTGGCGAAGTATTCCGGCTCAGACCCGCTGGGGCCGAATGATACTAGCGTGTGCTATAATACGCCCAAAAAGCCAGCCTGCGCCCATGGGTCATCTCCACTGCCAATGTCGCTTTATGTAATTAGGTAATTTTACTTACCGTCATACTGCCCCCCTGAGCGGATGATGAGCGTGGAATTTGTGAATATGCGTCGGTTAGTGCCTGGCGTGGCGAAGTATTCTGGCTCGGAGCCGCTGGGGCCGAAAGCGACGCGCGTGCGCATAGAAGCGCCCACGAACCCAGCCTGCGTCTCACGCGTCAGTTCCACCATCTTAGCGATTGATATTTCGCTCATATGCGCTATTTTCTGCCAATAATAAATCGGAATCTATTAGAAATTTGTTGTAGCATTATACGGTAAATGCTGGTTAAATGAACATGTCAAGGTATTTTGTGATAAAAGATTTTTTGTGTCAAATAAGGTAGTAACATATGGCCCCACTGATGGTAAGCAGCTACTATAGCATATATTGACACTTGCAATATCAGATTATCACTTGCATGAACACACGGGAGTATGGCCCTTGGACCTGCTAAAATTTTAACCTACTTACAATCTTTACGTAGGTTGATCACAGAACCAATTCCGATTTTTATAATATTTAATAGATTCTTCCACAAGTATGAAGCTCAAATTATTTTGCTCATTTTCCTTTTATTAATGTAGGTAAAACTTTTTGATATATCCTCTGACAAATAAACTACTGCCTGTTAAATGAAAACCAATCATTTCAACAGACCGTACCTGATCTTGCAAGTAGCAGAGAAGAGTACACATAGCGACCGCGTCCCTCAAATGTGCTTTCTTTATGCCTTTAACCTCGGCTTCGTTCTTCTGGGCTTTGAGGTAGATGATTGGTGAGGTTAGAAACACTTGCTTGTTTAACGGAACGCTTTGTGCTATGGCCGCCGAAGCCCCTCGTTGGAAGGTTCCAGAAGTAGGAATGAGGATTCTCCCCTCTGTTGCTCTTCGGAGGTCTGCGTAGATGTTGGCGTAGTCATTTACCCTGAAGACAACGGTGAAATTGAATACACTAGTAGGTACTTACCATATCATCATAAAAGGTATTTAAAGATTTTTTAACATAATGACTAGTGAGCTCTAAATTTGCTTTAAAATCCTCCATCAGGCGCAGTGGACATGATTTCCGACTATATTTCTTTCTGTTTATACGGTTCTCTGTATTTTTTAACCAGCTGCAACTTTGATCCGAAAAAGGTAGAGAAACTCCTTTTGTTACCACAAACATTTTTTACTATTTATACCTTCTTCTACCAACACTAGCGTTAAAACAGAATCAAGAAAAATACCTGGTGCAGTTGGTCGAGTAGCAGTTGTAGACAGCCAGCGCCTCCCTGACAGGCATGGAGAGTTTGCCAGGGGGTGCGTACACGCGTAAGTCCCGCTTGCTGACGATCACGAAGGCTTTCAGCAGCGGCGCGTAGGGCAAGTCGCGACCGCGCACGTTGAGCAGCCACGCGACTTCATCCAGCGCTGTGACCACCATAGCATCCACTTCTGCCTCGTTGAGCTCGCGTCGCACGGCGGACACTTTCTCGCGCCAACTCATTCCTGTATCCATGCATTGAAATTTCGGAACAGTATTTTCTTTAAAAAAAAAACAATTAGGTGGGAACAGTAAGAACTATTGTTATTTGGCTAGAGAATTCTGAAAGTGGAAGTTGTGTAGCAGATGGGTGCTCTAATTTGAAATCTTATCTGAAATAATGTTAAAAAAAACCATCGAGTATCCATTGAAGAGTTCGACAATTAATGACACCGCTAGAACTAACCCACATACTCCATGTGATGCAATTTGGCTACGATCTCGGAGAACTCGGGTCTGCGTCTCGCCGGGTCGAGTTCCTCTGCCCATAGTTTATCTAGCAGCGTGGACACGTCGGTCAGGTTCACGCCCCGCTGCTGTAGGGCGTCGGCCAGCGACGTCCACTCCGCATATGAAGTCAGCCGGGAATCCGCCCCTATTCTGTCACCACGTTTCAACCTCTCCTGTGATACGTGCAAAAAAAGCATATGACTTGGTAGCGAAAGTTGGCGTTTCTCGGTTTTACACAACCACACTTCTAAAAACTACCGAGCATGAAAAAGGTTATAAGACAAAGCATGCATTCTATAATAGGTAAACTACAATTAAACTAACTACTAATCTTAAACTAATCTACAGCGACTTCTACCACCTTATTAATAACAAGCATATTGCTTAGACTAGTTACGCCGTGTTTTGTTATATCACATAAATGCCATTTATCATTCAATGAACAGAGACAAAACATGGAGTAACTAATCCAAGCTTATTCTTCATTTATTTATAAGTGGGCTAGAGAGCAGTGCAAGACGTGTAGGCACTGTAGGCGCCACGGTTGTCAAAAAGACAAATCAACTTTCAGCAAAAAATAAAAGTTTCGTGAAGTGAAATTGATGACCAAAGAGTGCAGAAAGACGTTCTCACTCTTCCTTGATTAGGGGGCTTGGTCTTACGGCTTGGCCTTATGTCATTGGTCTGAATATCGGACTTTAGGGCTTTTACATGAAAATAATATTGAAAAAGCTAGCTTATGGGACTAAAGAAAACCCAAGAAATGTAGGGAAAATCTATATATTCAAGTCACACAAAAAACAGTTAAGTTTTACGAGTAGCGTGCGCGCGTTCTCTGTGGCCGGGCGGCAGACCGCGGCAACGCAACAATGCGCCGATAAGGCAAATGCGACAGCGTGAAACAAGCGAGAGACCTTACAGATCGGCTAGACGCGGGTGTATTCAAGTTTGCTACAAGCTGCATTTATATTGTGATTGATCGGTAAGGAGTTTCCAGCATCAACTGGCAGTGAAATGAATTACCGTACGAGCTACTACTTCTTCAATCAAATATTATCGGGAGCCACTCGAATATAGATAGATGGCTGGTGGCTTTATATAAAAAAGAATAATGAAAAAGCTTGCTGTATTTATATTGTGATTGATCGGTATGAAGTTTCCGGCTTCAACGGTCAAACTAATTAATTACCGTACGAGCTACTACTTCTTCAATCGAATGTTACCGTGAGCCACTCGAATATAGACGGCTGGTTGGGGTCGTCGGCGTTGAACACCTGCCAGGCGCAGGACAAAGAGGCGACCGCTCGTTTCACGTCCGCGCCGGGTACCCAGACCGCCGCTCCGACATCTGCCATTACGGCCGCCACGCCAACGCCGTCCCAACCGCTCACATACTCCAACCGACGCTCTTCAGCTGAAGGCTCTTCGCTCTGGGTAAAGAAAATGCGTTCTTAATCTTATTTCAAACTAGCGGTCTCACGCGACTTCATTCGTGTTAACTTTAGTTTTTGAGAATCCCTCAGGAACCTAAAATTTTTTCGGGATAAAAAGTATCCTATGTATCAATCCAGGTCATAAGCTACCATCCATCCAGGTTATGCGTACCAAATTGCATCCAAATCCGTTTAGTAGTTTTTAGTGATTATTAAGTAACAAACATACAAACTTTCACATTTATAATATTAGTAGGATGAAGTGGCAGCAAGGGCTGGAGGAGGAAAGGCTGAAGGAGTTGAGCAAGTCCTTGCTCACGGGCGGTAGCAAGAGCTTCTCGGGCGCCAGGGGGCGGTCACTTCTCGCGGCAATTGGATAACAGGAATTTTTGCCAAATATTCATCAGTATCCTAACTAAAATTACAAATGCAAAAGTGAGTTTGTTTGTTAATTTATTTGTTTGTTACGCTTTCACGTAAAAACAACGGAATGGATTTGAAAGAAAGGATGATGCCAGGGTATGTATAAAATCTGGTCCTACCTGCCAATAGCTATGTGTGTAACATCGTTGGATAGATATCTTTCAGCTGGATAAAAGTTACTATAAGTATAATAATAAATAACTAAATAAAATAAATGTTAATATTGGCAAAAAAATTTATGTTAACGTTGACGAATGATTTTTTAACAAATAAAACAACAATAAAATATTTTAAAAACACCGTTATTCAATTATCGACGTCTACAATGACGTCATTTAAAAATAAGGCAGAGGCTACAAATCCCTCATTCCTGGCGAAACCTCGGTACCAAATGATTGATAGAATATACGTACAGGACCCTACAGTCAAGCTAAGCAGGTACACTACGTGTATAAAACACAGAAATATAATTAAAAGGTAAAAATAGTACTACTAGGCTACTAAAACTGCCATGTTTAATTAAGGATAACTCAGAACGGACTAAGATTTGGAACTTGGCGCTATACTAACTTTTATTCACCTTAAAAATACCAATCTAAAGATGTCACACACATAGTTATCGGAAGGTGAGACCTAAGTGGGACCAGGATTGGCATTCTCCTTTGTAGTACAGTCAATCTGTAGGTTGAGTGGTGAAAAAAAAACCTAAAGGGTAAGTCTTTTTTTTTCTGTTGCCAAATGACGTCAGTAAGCCACCTTGGCGATGGGCATGTTCAACTCGTAGGCGTTTTTTGAAAAACTCAAAAAAACCGTCAAAAATTTTTTGAAACGCATTTTTCTTGTTTTGTATGCATTTTAGAAACTTTTTTTTTGACCATAATTGTAGAGGGCGTTGAGTACTACAATTTATGTCACTGTTGCAATCTCATACAACAAAAAATGCGCATTGTAGGTGGCGCTAAAGTCTCAAAAATAGGGTTTTTTCACTTTTTCTCCCTGAAAATATCATTTTAATGGAAAACTTTAAATGGCAAAGTTGTTTCGTACATAATTACCAACAACTTTTGTATAAACATTTTTTTTGTATTACTTACCGTTTTCAAGTTATAAATTGCGCAGGTATGAAAAATCCAATAGAGCGGTGTTGGGCAGTTCACGTACACATTTGCAGTGCACATTTCAATGTACGTTTTACTATTTTTTATTTTTTTTCATGATTGAAAAAAAACTAGTAAAAACGTACATTGAAATGTGCACTGCAAATATAAGTAATACAAAAAAATTGTTTATACAAAAGTTGTTGGTAATTATGTACCAAACAACTTTGCCATTTAAAGTTTTCCATTAAAATTATATTTTCAGGGTGAATAAGTGAAAAAACACTTTTTTGAGACTTTAGCGCCACCTACAATGTGCATTTTTTGTTGTACGAGATTGCAACAATGACATAAATTGTAGCACTCCACGCCCTCTACAATTATGGTCGAAAAAAAAGTTTCTATAATGCATACAAAACAAGAAAAATGCGTTTCAAAAAATTTTTGACGGTTTTTTTGAGTTTTTCAAAAAACGCCTACGAGTTGAACATGCCCATCGCCAAGGTGGCTTACTGACGTCATTTGGCAACAGAAAAAAACAAGGCTTACCCTTTAGGTATTTTTTTCACTCAAACGATATTTTTTTCGACAGATTGACTGTACTATTGCTACGCATATACTCGTAGTTTATGACATGTATTGAGACATATGATACTTTTTACCCCGAAAACATTTTAGATTCCAGTGGGATTCCCATAAAACTAAAGTTCACGCGAACGAAGTCGCAGGCGGCCACTAGTAGAAGATAATGAAGTGGGGTGGTAGAGCTGAGCGAATTCTTGCACACTGGCGGCAGCGAGGGCTCCTCTGGCGCCAAGAGGCGGACATTACTGAATTTTGATTGTATTTTTTTGGACCAGTTAGTTCTCTATTCTTACCAAATGTTCATCAGTGTAGAAGATAATGAAGGCGTTTAGAGCCTTCATGTGCGTGTAGACGGGGTTTCTCATCGCAGCCCTTAGTCGAGCCAGAGGAGTGGTGGAACTGAGCGCGTCCTCGCATACTGGCGGTAACGCAGGCTCCTCTGGGGCCGCGGGTGCGGTCACTTCCCGCGGTAACGAGAGTGGTGGTAAAGGCGTTGTTGATGTTGTCGTAGGGACTATGCGGACCCCATGACATACTGGAAAATAATCAATAGATATTTTTAGATGTAATGTCGTCGCCTAATATTTATAACGAAATTCCTGAATATCAGAATTTAGAGCAATAAAAAGGGTTTTTAATACAAGATGTTCACAGTTCCAAAAGAAGTGGAAATGTGATACAGGTTTGATGTTTAGGCCGTTAGGTGTTCTGACCATGGTTAGACCCACAGAACACAGAAAGAGGTTAGAAGGGTGATAAGCGATCGCCAGTATGAGAACCGATGTCGCCGGCTCGTCCCCACTACACTTCCACCTAATAGATAATAAGCCAATCAAACGACTCGACATCGAGCAACCGCACGAATCAGCGTTCATTCGTTCACACCAATTATAGCGTTTGTGTTGACACCGAGTCGATGAAATATTATCGATATTAAATATGCCAAGTACGAGTTGGACTTGGCTTGATTGTATGGAATTTTATGTATCCTGTCTTAATGTAAAACGCATTACTACAGATAGTTATTTATTGACCTTGAAACAATATATATTTATGAAAAAGGCGACCCTTTTTTCTTTTTAAAAAGTTATTTTTCAAAAGAAATACAGACGTATATCTATATATTTTTCAATTACCACTTTAATTGAATCTGTTACGTGGTTAGATAATGGGAATTCACCGACTTGATGAAATGATATGTCATCAAATCATGAAGTGCTAATAAACTTTTTTTATATTTTTGGGACTAAAATTTCTTTTATGTAAATTTTCAAATTATCTGCATGTTGTCGTATTACAGTTTCTGCACTTTTGCATATTTTTATAACATCACTACGGGCGGATATATCAGGCCACCTTTATGTTTTAACGAATTACATTTATGTTAATTACTTGAATCTGATATTCCATAAAATAAGCAGAGACGTTAAATACATCGTTATAAATAAAATGTCAAAAATCCCGTTCGATCCTTCTTCTGCAAAAAAAATTGAAGGTCAAACTTACAAAATTATGGATTTTTCCATTTTTCTCGAAAAAGGTAAGTTTTATCGTGAAAACAGGTCTGACAAAAGTTGTAGATCATACAATTATCTACAAAACTGGTCCAGTCACTTTTTCTCTCACGACACACCATTCGTGAGATATCGCTGTTTTAATAATTAGAAAATTCATATTTTACATATTGAGTATGACTTAGTTGCTGCTAAAGCTACTTAGCTTTAACACAGTTGTGGTACTTACCCAATAACTGTTTTAATATCTTTCTGAGGCCTACTATGGGATATAAATCTGCATTGAACAATAAAAATTCATATTTTACATAATTATTGAGTATGACTTAGTTGCTGCTAAAGCTAAGTACCACAATAACTGTTTTAATGTCTTTCTGATGCCTACTATGGGATATAAACCTGCACAGTAATAAAACAGTACAGTGGTATTGTCTGCATCCAACATCTGCTTCTGCCTTTCAACACTTGTATCCTGTGTATTATCAAGTTCAAATGTGCAATGAGCTGGAGCCAGAAGGATGGGCTTGGAAATTAACAGATAATTATTTGGAGCCAATTCGAACTCTACTCCCGCCTGCTGCAGAAAAACTGCTTAATCCTATTTTTTGTAATTGCAAGACGGATTGTAGTAAGAATTGTGGCTGTCATAAAGTAGGATTATTTTTTTCGCCAATATGCATCAATTGTCAGGGTCAGCCTTGCTCCAATATTGAAAAAATACAACAGATGAAATGAAAATATTTATGATATTAATGAAGAGACAATTGTTGCATCCCTTTTCTTAGAACAGTGAATAGAAATTCTGCAAGAAGAAGAAAATGAAGACGAAGAAATAATTGTCGGAGAAGAATTAGACAATAATCTAATATAATAACATTTAGAAGAAGACAACCTATTCCAATTTGATCATTAGCAATATAACCATTCTATCGATCAATAGGAAACGATCTGATCTAACTTTCTTTATTACAATACATCGTGGAGTATACTTACTGGGGAAACCACTTTGAAAAAAATCCGCCAAGTAAATTACCTCATAGGCGGTGCAGAAATGTGTGCATCTTATGTAAAAAATGAATATTCTAATTATTAAAACCGCGATATCTCACGAATGGTGAGTCGTGAGAGAAAAAGTGACAAGACCATTTTTGTAGAGAATTGTATGGTCTACAACTTTTGTCTGATCTACTTTCAACGACAAAACTTACCGTTTTCAAGAAAAATGGAAAAAACCATAATTTTGTACGTTTTAGTTGATTTTTTATTTGAAGAAGTATTATTATATTTGCGGATGGATCGAAGGGGATTTTTGAAATTTTATTTATAATGATGTAATTAACGTCTCTGCCAATTTTCAGCTCTATGCGAATTATTCCTAAGTCAAATGTCTATTTTGACTGGACCTTAAACAAACTCTTCAGCTTTATATTTATATTGTACTAGCTATGTCCTGCGGTATAACCTGCGGTTTATTAGAGATATTTTCCCGCAGTAAAACGTAGCCCAGGTTTTAATCCAGGGGGTCAGCTAACTCCATACCAACTTTTATTAAAATCGCTCCAGCCGTTTAGACGTGAAGAAGTAACAAACATACACACACAAACGCCTTTATAATATTAAGTATGATAAACATTTACAATCAGCTTTTATTTATTTGTAAAAGTTACTTTAATTCCATTATTAGGTGCTAAAATTCACTCGATAAAATCTATCGAAAATGTAAAATGTACGACGCAAGACACCACTAAAGTAGGTGCAATGACCTTGTACTGGGTGCGGTCACGTGCAGCGCTCTGTGATCCACGCGTCATTCTTGCTTGATCGTACTACATTTCGTGTTTTGAATGTCGTAGAAAAAATAGCGAGCGTACTTTGTCAGCAATGAATATTTTTGTGTAAATATTTAAGTGATTTATCGTTTAATTAATATTTCTCGATTTTTTGCTGCAATATCAGTCTAACTAAGAAGTTTTATACTTACCGATGAAAAGAAATTCCTGCTTTAGGTAGATTTGATGATTGGCTCCTTACTTTGCAAGTAATAACGGCACACGAAGGCATATTTTAAGCGGTAATCACAATACTCTCTCACTGAGCGTTCGCGAGCAACTAAACGACGCGATCGGACGTTACGGTCAAGTTCTGAGCATTTGCTCATAACTGTGACGCCCGGCCCACAAGGCCATTCTAACCTCTTTCTGTGTTCTGTGGTTAGACCAACCATAGCGTTAAATAGGAGTGACGACGAGGTAAAGTAAACGAAATTATATTATCCGTCAGTTAGATTATCAAAAAAAATAATGGACACGTATTTTTCCTTTGGTCAATTAACCAAAAAATTACTAAGATAAAGTGCATCAAAGTTTGGGAGTGGGGGCTCGTGACGTCATTTTTAAGTTAAAATTGTACCAAAACGTGACGTCATGCAACATTTCAAATCAATAGATCTATGTGTTTTGATTATGTGCATAAAGAAAAATACTTGTCCAATTCGTTTTGATAATCTACCTGATAGACAAGGAAAAAATTGTCGTTATCCTTATTCAAGTCCAGCGAGCGAAGTGAGTGTCCGCGGCAGTCATCAATTATGAAATGGCAGTTTTCTTATGACTATTTTATTTCGATTTGGCTAATTTCATCTAAAGAAAGTTTTACTAGAAAAATTCTCACGCGGACCATGCAGCCGACTGGACCTGAACCCGCAACCTCCGCTATCCGGGCGGGCACTGACCAATACGCTACCGCGACCTTGATGAGCGTGTCAAAGTTTCTCTAGTATTTCTTAGACTGCAAGGCAGTGCCATCTCTTCGCATTATAGGCAACCCACAATGTCAAATGAATACCTTTACAAGTATTAAACATTTGAAAGAAGAAATTGCAATTGTATTATAGTTATATATTGTAGCTGGCTGTAGCCTGGTCCGCGTGGATTTTTTTCTAGTAAAATTTCATTTTGATTTAAACATCTAGCAGTTAAATGCTTAAAAAATCAAAATATGATCTTATTAGTATTTAGTTTTTTGAAAAGACTTTTTTTTCGTTCCAATTTGCGTACAATCATCCATTCTCCATACAGAATTAACATTTAGTATGTTAGTTAAAAAGGGCAACTTTCTCCTAGGTTCCATTTATCTTTAAACTAAAGTTCATAAAATCGGTTCAACGATTTAGGTGTGAAAACAGATGGACATAGTTTTTTTTTCGGATTTGATGTTATCAATGACATTCTTGTAATATTCGGATCGATGGCGTTGTAATGAAAAGAGATGATGAAACATGTTTGTTAATAATACAGAAGTCTCTGTGACCCTCTTCATAATTTTATTCACTTACGTTTAATGATAAAGAAATGGGCTCCATCAAGTTGCATTTTTGTTTATGGGGACCTATTTACCCACCTTTAGGATGTTTTCCCGGGAAACTATTCCGTTTTTACCCACTTGCGGTATTTTGCGTGCTACAACACATCTCTAGCACCATGTAACGTAGACTTTTTGAGCCGCAGTGAAATTGTAAGGGATTCATCAGGAATAGGTACAGTTATTTCACACTCAAACATTTTTGTAAGAATTGTATCCGACTCATGCTTTGGCCATGGTGGTAGGTCATATTATACCCGTTTGTTTCGATCATATTATGGCGTACAGCATCCATGTTTATTTACCTTTTGAACAGAGATTACCTAGACGTGTAATATCACAGCTTTCGTTATTGAGATAGACACTCTGACAGATTGAACTCTAAAAGCATTCAATCGAGACCATTATCGTTGCATTCATTTATGTGCGTGACAAAGATAAAAATGATGCGTGCGTCCCTCTCGTGCAAAGGGAGTCCTAAAAAGTTAATCAGAAGGAGAAAGCGGCTAGCGACAGCGGTGTTTGTGGCGCGGGAATATACCAGGGCAGCATATTTTGTCGAGAGCTTTATCGTACGAGAGCTTTTCGAAAGCTCGCAGGAGTGAGCAGGATAGCAACTTAACGACGCTACCCCTCCCTGCGCAGATCGTTCCTCCGACAC